CAACACAAGACAGACACATTGCAGTAACTTGCAAGACGAATCATTCGCAAGCGATGCCTCTCACTAACGCCATTGAAAAGCAACCTTTCGCTCGATCTTGTCACGAAAACAGCAGAGACAAGAACTTCCCTTCCCACTGATAAATCTTTCCCGGTGACATAATGACAAATGACAAAGCGACAGGGGGCACGAGTGTTTGACAAAGCAGGGCCCCGTGACGTCACCGGGCTGCTTTCAAATATCCATGAATAACATTAAGTGGCGATCCGAGCGGTGTGGAGGGGTGGGGGTGGGGGGTGGGTGGGAGGAGAGTGCCCTGCCCTCATTTTTCTCTCTTTTCTTTTCTCTACTGAATTTTTCCTATCCGCCCTGTCTTTCTCTCGCGTGCGGCATTTTTTTTATTCGCTTTCCCTCTCCTCTCTCCTCTCTTTCCCTCTTCCTCTTCCTCTCCTCTCTCCTCTCTCTATCTATTAACCCATCTCATGATCTTTCGCCTTTATCCCTCCTCCCTTTCTTCTCCACCTCCTTTCCCTATTTTTTCTTCGTTCCCTCCACTTCTTTCTTCGCTCATTCCATGACCCAATCTTTCTTCCATGTTTTCCCCTTCCTTTATGCGCCCCTCTCTCTTCTATGTTTCTTCGTTTTTCTTTATTTCCCTCTCCTTCTGTGTGAGGCTTCCCTTTTTCACTCCCATCCTCTCTTCTCCCTCTCCTCCCTCCCTACCACCTCCCTCCCTTCTGTCCCTCCTTCCCATCCCATCTCCCTCCCTCCATCAACTATCCGCTGTATGGATAACTCTCCTGCGCATCAAATACTCACTGCAAATAAAAAAAAAAAAACATCGATACATTACAGTACAATCACCTTGAGGACACGCCCCTCTCTCACCCCCCCCCCCATCCCCCCCCACTCATCTCCCAGGTACTCCTAACCCACAGAGAAGGAAGAATTACCTGCCGACATCTACAGATACATTATCTCCTCCTCCTGTCCGGGACCTGTGCAAAAGCGCGGACTGGTGCCAGGTAAGAGCAGTTTGTGGCGGGTGGGGTGGGGGTGCTGGGAGGGGGTTGCTGGATAGGAGGGTGGGGTGGGGGGGTAAGGGGAAGGGAAACACGGATGGATAGAAGGATAGGTGGAGTTGGTAGGTCGGTAAGAAGATGGGGCGAGGGACACGAGGGATAGTGGATAAGAGAAGAAAAGGTGGAGGAAAAGGGAGAAAGAGGAAAGAGAATGAGGCTTAGTCTCCTCTTCACCCTTTCTCCTACATTGTCTCTCCTTCTCTTCTTCTCATACTCATCTTCGTCTCTCTTTCTTTCTCCTAATTCTTCTCTTTCATCCTATTCTCTCTCTCTCCACTTCTTCTCTTAGTCTTTCTATCCTATTATCTTTCTTTCTTCTTTCTATTCCTCCTATCCTCCGTCTCCTCTCTTCTCCTATCCTGCCTCCCACTTCTCTCCTCCCTCGTCTCCTATGACCTCCTTCTCTTCTCTATTCTGCCTATCTTCGCCTCCTTCTCTCTCTCTCTTCCCCTCGTCCAAAGGCAAGAGCAGAGGGGAGACACAAAGAGAGGAGGGGAGGGAATAAAGAGGGAAGGGGAAAGATAGACGGGAGATGGGTGAGGGAGAGGAAGGAGGAAGAAAAGGGAGAGAACGATAGAATGAAGGGGGAAGAGGGGAGGGGGGAAGAAAAAAAGAGGGGAAGGGAAGGTGAGGGGAAGTAGGAAAAGAGGTAAATGAAGGGAAGGGGAGAAAAAAAACAATAGGCTGGGGAGACAAACGCTTAGAGAACCCCACCTGTGTGCATTGAGCTTCCTCTTATTTTTATTCCTTCATTCCAGAATGTTCTATCTATCTGCACGACGTGAACTTCCCTCTCCCTCCCTCCCTTCCCCTCTCTCTCCCTTCCCCCCTCCATTCTCCTCTTTACTCCCTCTTTCCCTTTCCCCCCATTCTCCTTCGCCCTCCTTCTTTCCTCTCCATCCACCCATCCAATTATATCCCATCATCACCCATCCATCCTCCCTCCTCACTCCCTCTTCCTCCCTCTA